CGACAACGACGAGGGAGGAGGGAGGACGGCGACGACGCGAAGACGAAGAAGGAGGGAGGACGGCGACGCCGACGACGAAAACGACGAGGGAGGAGGGACGACGACGACGACGACAACGACGACGACGACGACGACGACGACGACGACGACGAGGGAGGAGGGAGGACGGCGACGACGTGAACGACGAAGAAGGAGGGAGGACGGCGACGCCGACGACGAAAACGACGAGGGAGGAGGGACGACGACGACGACGACGACGACGACGACGACGACGACGACGACGACGACGACGACGACGGCGACGAAATAGGAAGGACGACGACGAGACGCCGACGACGGACGACGACGACGACGACGAGGGAGTGGGAGGAAGGACGACCACGGCGACAACGACGACGGAAACGACCACGACGCCAAAGAGGACGACGACGACGAACACGAGGAAAGGCAGAGGACGACGTAGGCGACAACGACGACGACGACGACGCAGGAGGAGGGAGGACGGCTGAAAAACCTATGGTTTTCTTAAGATTTCGCAAGAACTCGCGCGTAAGCTTTTTTAGCAAATCAGGGTTGCGAAACCATGTGTTTTTGAATGTTTTTCGGAAACTCGTTTGCGAAATCCTTCCAGCACCGAAGGTTTTTGAAGGATTTCGGCATGCGCGCGCGACGACGCGCGCGTGTGCACTTCGTCCAATTTTTTACAAGGGATTCGTGAAAAAGTGTTATGTTAAAACAAAAGATGTCCCCGAGTATCGTTTTTCACAAGGGAACCTCAGGGGGACCGATACCGGTTCCCCGGGGATATATTTAGGATGGACATGTGGTCATAATCATAAATGGCTTACATACCCGAAAGGGGGGCGGCGAACGCCGGTGGGGAGGGGGGTAGAGTCTATTCTCTTTTTAGAAGGAGAATCTATGTTGCGCAATCTACGTTGTTCCATTTGCTTGTACAGTCCAGGCGGCGACGGGGCGGCGACTGGGCGGCGACGGCGACCACGGAGCCGCCAGACCGCCACTCAGGCCCAGACGACGGGCGGCGACGAAACGGCGAAGGGGCGGAGGGAATCTGAATATGTATATATATATATATATATATATATAAGAGAAAGAAGGAGGGAGAGGAACAAAACATACAACAACAACAACAACAACAACAACAACAACAACAACAACAACAACAACAAAGCTGGATATAGAGGAGGAAACAGAGAAAACGCTGGTGCATGGGAAATCTTGGGACTAGCGCCGCTTGAATCCAAAGGCGCGGCGACTGCGGGCTGTACTGCTTATATGATTCAGGCGATTGAAATGGCACTACCATGGACGCTGCTTGGCAGCCTGCGGAAGGCCGCTATGTGCCGACGCCTACGCTTGGTAATCGCCGATTCTAAGCCTGGAATGCCCGCATGCGTGAGGAGGCTACTGAATGCGCGGGTCCACATATTTAGTGAGGTGTGCTGAGGCCGCGGACGCATTGCTCTTTCCAACCATCCTTGACTGGATCCTCTTTAGGGAAGAGAACGTGGTGGTCCTCCCTCCTTCCCTCCTTCTCTCGCTCCCTCATCCTCCTGACCTCACCCCTTTCCTCTCGCATCTCCATGTATACCCTCTCTGATCACTCGTGTCGACCGTTACTTGCGATGGCACATATCTCCCCCATGATGCCCCTGGGGAGTACAGCGGAGCGGTGCGACACGCCGCTTCCCTGAGCCCCTGGCGGTCCAACGAAGCGGCGTGACTCGGGGTCCAAATGGCCTCCCCGGGCGTCGCCTAGATTAAGACTGCGCCACTGCTGTGCCCCTGGGCAGTCCAGCGGGGCGCCGCCCTGCGGGCATCCAAATGAGCCGTCGCCTCCCTGGGTGCTTTCAAACGTCTCGGGCGAGTTGGGCACATCCCTGGGCGGCCCCCACAAGCTGCAAGATTGTCCGACAACTGCCGGCAAGTTTCAGGGCGTGAGAAAGCATGTAGAGAAAGACGTCCCGGCCAGTTACACTCGAGATGTGGCAGAGAAATCACATGTGAAGTGCAAGCTTTGGGGGGAGGAAGCTGCAAAAATGATGTGATTGGCGACGCCACAGACATCACCGTGCTCGGGACACTGGGAACACGCTGTGGCACACAACCCAAAGGTGTCTAGAGTCTACGGTCAACATCTGCGGTGAGGATTATTCCTGACGTCACTCTCCGCTGTCTTCCTCGACACGATTCCCCTTGCTCCCTCCCGAGCACCTCGCGCACTCTGTCTGACCGAGGTCCATTGCGAACTTCCCCGTCGCGCACTGCTGACACCTGTAGCAAGGAGAGATCCCCATGGCCGTGCCGATATTTCCAAACCATCCAAAGTTGGGTTCTCGTTTTGAAAAGACAGCGCCCCGCGTCGCCTCACTCACTCACTCACTCCCACTGCCCTCCTCCCGCTGCCCCCTCCCTCCTCCTCCTCCTCTTCCTCCTCCTCCTCCTCCTCCTCCTCAGCATCATCAGCACACGGTTCGTGGCCGGAGCTCCACCCAAGGCCCCAGTGGCAAAGTCTACATGCTCCTCCCCGCCCACCGCATGTCGATTTCGGCACACCCCTCACACGGTTCGTGGCCCCATCGGTTCCCCGCCCACCCCAGGTCCATGTCGGCACACTCCTCACACGGTTCATGGCCCCATGGGGAGCTCCGCCGAAGGCCTCAGTGGCAAAGTTCGCATGCGATTCCGCACCCATTTCGGCACACCCCTCACACGGTTCGTGGCCCAATATGGAACTCCGCCGAAGGCCTCAGTGACAAAGTTTGCATGCTGTTCATCGCCCATTTCGGCACACCCCCCACACGGTTCGTGGCCCCATAACGAGCTACACCGAAAGCCTCAGTGGCAAAGTTCGCATGCGGTTCCACCCCCATTTCGGCACACCCCTCACACGGTTCGTGGCCCCACAGGGAGCTCCACCCAAGGCCCCAGCGGCAGCGCCCGCATGCGGTTCCACCATCATTTTGGCACATCCGTCACACGGCTCGTGGCCCCGTAGGGAGCTCCACCGAAGGCGCCAGCGGCTGCGCCCGTATGCGGTTCCACCCCATTTCGGCACACACCTCACAAGTTTCATGGCCCCACGAAGGCTCCAGGGACAACGCCCGCATGCGGTTCCCCTTTCGATTTCCGCGAATCCCTCACACGTGTCGTGGCCCCATAGGGAGCTCCACCGAAGGTCTCAGTGGCAAAGCCCGCATGGCGGTCCCGCCACAGTTCGGCACACCCTTCACGCGCTTCGTGGCCCCATAAGGAGATCCACCGACGGCAATACTCACAACGAGGATACCCACAACTGCATATGGTTGGGCCCTTCGCCAGGCTAATAGAATGATGCTGATCGCCCACGACGAAGAGCACAGAACAAGTAGAAGCTTTTCCGCTGACGCTTCAATCATGGCCCCCCATGGGATGACTTCTGGTGCTGCGTTGTCTGGCCCTGCTCTTGTCCCTGCTACACGCGCAGCCCCCAGTGGCCAACCCCCGAAGGATGCGGACGGCCTCAGCCCTAGTCGCCGCAGTATCGTCCTCACGCGTTGGTTGGAATCAGGGCTGCGGCGGTAGCGCGTCGAGACGGATGCCTGAATGTCGTGCATCGTGCCCACCTTCGCCCCTCAGAATGCAATCTGCAGCGCGCATGGCTCCCGAGCGATCCCCAAAGCATGAGCGAAACACCAGCGAGACCCCATACACTGCTGGAATGCTTCAAACATCGGCGACACGTTGCCTGCTAGCTACCTTGTTCGTTACTCGTCGACGCTTGCCTACAAGAGTTCCTCCTCGATCTCTCAGTACAGGTTGGGGGGTCCGCCAGTGGCGAACGACGCGAGTGATTGTCAATGGGCTGCGTAGGAGAGTGCCAACCGATGACTCCAATGACGATATGCGTTTCTACTCACATGCCAATGCCAATGGCTATACCTTTGAGGTGTATGCTTGCAGACGTACGCCTGGTCCTGCCCGAACGCCTTTTCCGACTGGGAACGCACATGCCCATGGACTCCGCCCATCTTCATATCATGCTCCAACTTCACAAAACATAGTTTCGCGTATCCTGACCTGGCCCTGCCTGCCCCAGCCTAGCCGAGTCTAACCCTGCATGCACGTCAGTCTTTTGGAGCCGCCTTGAGACCCTCTGGGGCCGTTTTGGGACCCTCTTGGGCCGTCTTGGGGCCCTTGGGCCGCGGAACTCTAAAAAATATAAGGAAACAGGCCATTGGAGCCGCCCGGGAGCCGCTTCACTCGAAAAAATACAAAGAAAGCTGGCCATTACCAACTCATCCACCCCCGCCTCGCCCCTCCCCTGGAACCCCTCCCTTAAAGGCTTCGCCCCAGAAAATAACGCACATTACTCGTACCTCGCTCTTTCCGTCACCTGGGCCAGCACGGAAACGGAAAGAGCGCCTCAGGAACTTGCCCGAGAGGGCTCATGACATTCTTCGCTCTGGGGAGCCTTGGTGTGAAGAGCTTGTTACGTCGCCGTCTCCGTTGGAAGCCCTGGTCCTGGTGTTCAGAGACTTTTACGTTGCCGCTCGCTCTTGGGTTCCTTGGTGTGACGAGCTTTTTACGTCACTGCGCTATGGGGAGCCTTGTCGTCAAAAGCTTGTTACGTCCCCGCTCGCTGATGGGAGCCATGGTGTTGGGGGTCTTCTGCGGGCCCGTGTGGAGCTCTTTTGTGCCCCCTTTGGAGCAATGTTGGGCCGTCTTGGGGCCCGTTTGGGCCGTCTTGGGCCGTCTTAGAAGCCTTTGGCCGTCTTGGGGCTCTCTTGGGGGCCTCTTGGAACTCTTTCGGGAGCCTCTTTGGGCCCTTTTTGGGCCTCTTGGGGCTCTCTTGGAGCGGTCTTGGGGCCCTCTTGGGCCGTCTTGGGGCCCTCTTGGGTCGTTTGCTTGTGAAACTGCATGCGGAGCCAAAGAGGAGTGCACCGCGCATGTGTTGCGGCATGCTGAACAGATTGTGCTCTTCCTCCCCCCCTCTCTTTCTCTTTCGCGCGCATGCAGTCCAGCGCGCTTCCTGGCTGCGCCCGAGCGAACATGGCAATTCCATTAAAAAACAACACTTGCCGCGCTCCGGGAACGGCGCGTGGTTTGCCTTCCCGGGCGCAGCCCCGCGGGCTGGCGGCCCAGCGGCGCGAGAGGCGCTCCGCGCGCCCCAACCGGCACGCCGTTGGCAAGTGGAGAGACCGCACCCCGCTGGAGCGAGGGCAGCGGGGCAGTCTGGCGCGCGCGGCGGGCGCCAGATCTCCCTGCCTCCACGCCTTCTGCAGCGTCGACAACAAAACACCCATGTTATAGGGGAAGACGTCGCCACTGCGGCACTCTCCGGCGAGCCAAGACGAAGAGAGCGGGGGCAGGCGGGAGGAGGAGGAGGAGGAGGAGGAGGAGGAGGAACGAGGAACGAGGAACGACGAACGAGCTGAAGAGGCAGCGTCTGCTCACAGACACAGCTCTAAAGAGAGACACAACTTATCCCAGTGTTTCACCCCCCTTCCAAAAGATCACCAGTCTTGGGATGCTTGCCCCCCGGCAAGCATTTAAGGACACGCCGCCTGCTGGGGGGCAAGTCTTTGGGGTCAGGGCACGAGGCCCCAAACACCTTCCCTACCCTGACGGACCCGTAGGCCCCGCACCGCCGACACCTGACGACCGTACCCGTGGCGAAAACGTCGTGCCCCCCAGGCGCGGTGAGCCTCAGCGGCCCCGCCTCGGGCTCCACAGAGCCCAAGGACCTCCCCCCCGGGGCCCCAGCCTCGCCCTCGCGGGCAGGCACAGGCCCCTCCGAAGAAGAGCCAACAAGGGCCACCCCAGACGAGGCCACGGGCCCAGACGGACCCCCCGACCCCGCCCCAAACCAGACCGCCCCAGACACCCCAACCCGCCCCGACTCCGCAGACCCCCCAACCAGGCGGGCGGTCGCGGCAGCCTCCAGGATTTGGGCTTGCAAGGTGTGGATGGCCGACGGGCGGTAACGACGGTCGGAGCCACCAGCCAGCTGTCGCCGTGCCTCGGGCGTCTTGGCCGATCGCCTACATCGCCTGCACAACGACCTGTCACCCATCTCCGGCCATGCAGCAACAGTGCGATTATCCTTTCCACCACCGGAGCAGGCTGCCGACTCGTGGCCGCAGCGAGCACGGCTCTCTCTGGCCACAGCTCGAGCTGGCAACTTCTCTGGACCGCCCAGCCCAAGTACTTGGCGCACTGGGCGGATCCTGCAAGACAGTCTTTGTAGAATATCGCATGGCCCTCGGGCAGGATGGGAAGGGCACGAAGGGCGGCGCGGTGACCGAGACCACGTTGCGCGCGAGGAGCGCCACACCGCCTGGCACCTCGAGCGCCCCAGCATCCGTGGCCTGGCCTGAGGCCCACAGCCCGTGGTAGCCCAGGTCGCGCACCTGGCAGCGCACTCAGCTTGTCGCCGAAGGCCCTGTGCTCCTGAACCGGGAACAAGTCGCCCTCAGGAGCTTCGGCGAGGTGCTCCGTCAGTCCTCGCCCACATGAAACGTTGACTGTGGTCAGCACACCTTTGGCAGCACCCGAACTGCCCATAATAATTGCCGTTGCTGTAGCTTCCGTCATCTTCACAAGAGAACAAAGCATCATCATCACAACGCCTCTCGCCTAAGTAAGCCTGGTAGGCCCACTGGCTGGAGGCCGACGCCATCTTGTGCGCCATGGTCATGATGGCGCGCTCGTCGCAAGGCACCGCCACCCCAGCCTCGGCGAGGCTGGCCCGCAGCGTCTCGATGGGCGCCTTGCCGGCGGCACACTTGAGGCGCTTGGGGCCGGGCGCCTGCACGCCGGCCTCGCCGGGAGCGCCCCCAGGAGCAGGTCGAGCACACTCCGCAGCAGCAGGCTGGGCGAGCACCTTCTCGGCGAGCTTCGGGTGTGCCAGGGGCCGCTCCGCGACCTCGCCCGAGGCGCCGAGCTCTTTAGGCAGCCCCTCCAGGCCCGCCAGGTTGAGGTCGGGGCCCCTCTCGACGGGCGTCTCCTTCTCGCCATGCGGCTTGGGGGCCGCGGCATTGAGCTCTCGCATCTTCGCCTCCAACTGGAGCTCTTCAGCCCGCAGCGTCTTGACTCGCTCGCGCTCATCCTCGAGCGCCTTCTGGGCCTCGGTAGCCGCCTGCTCGGCCTTGGCCACCGACCCCTCCTGCTTGACGATGGCATCCTGCTTCGCCTTGGGCTTCTTCTGCAGAACCAGCAGCTGCGTGAGGACGGGTTTCTTCGAGCGGACCTCCTCCAACAGCTCGCGCTTCTGCTCATTGAATTTGTCGATCGTACCGTTGACCAACTGCGACGGCGACGCGATGGCACGGAGGCTAAGCAGCTCTTCGCCCAGTTGTGCCAAGGCCGCTGTGCTTCGTCTGCATCCTCCGTGGCGCAGTCCTCAGTGGCCCTCGCCGCCTCAGGCAACCCGTTGAGTCTTGATCTCCTCTCGCAATTTGACCATTACCTTCTGCATGGCGACATTCTGCACGGCCGCGCCGCCTTGACCTCCTGCAGCCGCTGGGCTACTTCGCTGGCGATGGCGTGAGAGTCCTTCCTCCCCACGCGCACGGCCGAGGAAAGCAACTGACTTGCCGCACCCACAGAAGTGGCATTGCTTCTTGGTTCCGAAGATAACGCACGGCATCCCAACCTTGGGCCCTCGCTCGTACTTGCACAACTTACAGTACCAGTCTGGCGTGATCTCCCCACGACCTCCTGGCGCCATGGTCCCTTGCCGGCACCCTGGTGCAGCGAGGCCAGCCACGCGCGCGTGCTCACCTGCGGGCACCAGGAGGCACCCAGGGACCTGAGGCGGATCAGGCCCTGGAAAGAAACGGTTGGATCTAGCCGCGGACTAGCGGTATCCACGTGTTCCCCTGTGGAACAAGGCATCTTGAGCCAAAATGGCTACGGAAAGAGGAGGAGGAGGAGGAGGAGGAGGAGGAGGAGGAGGAGTGGGAGGAGGAGGGGGAGGAGGAGGAGGAGGAGGAGGAGGAGGAGGAGAGGAGGGAGGAGGAGGAGGAGGAGGAGGAGCGAAGCTTCCTCACGTCCAGCGGAACTTCAAGCTCCAGCCAAAGTGGGGGTTAGAAAATGGAGCGAAGCTGCCTTGCGTCCAGAGGAGCTTCAAGCTCAAGCCAAAGTAAGCGATAGAAAATGGAGCGAAGCTTCCTCGCGTCCAGAGGAATCTTCAAACTCAAGTTCAAGTGGGGGATAGAAAATGATGCCAATTTTACTCGCGTCCAGCGGCACTGCAAACTCAAAAAAAATGAAGGGGAGCCCCAGGTTCCCGTGGGCCTGCAGAAGGTTGGTCTCCTGTCTGCGGTCCACGCGGCGCCAGAGCACCGCTTCCTTCGGATCCTGGAAGACAGGAGGAAGAGGAGGAGGAGGAGGAGGAGGAGGAGGATCTGGGGTGGGGGCAGGCGCAGAAGATCTTGCATGTGCAGCCGCGTGCATATCCACGAGGTTATGCGGCCGCGTGCATCAGATGGTCGCGTTTCCCTCCAAGGACAGTACAGTCTCTTGCTGGATGTGGACCACAAGCCGATTCGACTAGCCCTGGGGGAAACAGCTGTCAGGCTGTCGGACGCCACGAGGCGCAGGGCTGTGTCAGCGCAGGACGAGTGTCCGAGCGCGGCCGAAAACGAGCACCACCGACAGCCATACCCACAGCGCGATACCTATAAATACTATGGGCGCGTCTCCCCACAAGGCCAGTACAGTGCCAACAATTTCACGCCAGCCGACGCCCCTCGAAATGTGATGATGAAGCTGCTGATGATGATACCCGTTGTCCGCAGGCTGTGGTGGCACCAGACACCAGCCGCAGAAAAGAACAGGCTGATGGTGGCGCAGCAACTGCATTGTGTGGTGGCACAGACGAATAGGACTCCCTCACAGAACATTGAAGTTGAAGGAGCTGGAGGACGGGCCGAGAGGGTAACATGGTGGCCTTAGATACCAGCCCCAGAGAAAGAACAGGCTGATAGTGGCACAGCAACGGTGCAATGCAATGAAAAAAAGGGGAACGGCTGTCAGACTGAGGCGCAGGGCTGTGTCAGCGCAGGACGAGTGTCCGAGTGTGGCAAAAAACAAGCTCCACCGACAGCCATACCCGCAGCGCGATACCTCTAAATGAGAAAGCGTGATCCACTGGCGCTTTACTGTGGAAACTTCACCCCCCTCTTCCTCGGGAACCCGGCGGTCCCCCCCCTCCCTTCGAACATGCCCCCCCCCCGCCCCCCCCTGCTGGACCCCCCCCCCGGAGAACCGGGGGGGGTCACTATCGGTTCGCACCACATCCCCCACTGCTGTCCCAAGCGCCACCGTCCCCACCACCAGTGTTCCCACTTTTCCCACCACCGTCCCCACTGTCCCCACCAGTGCCCCCACCACTGTCGCACTGTCCCCACTGTCCCCACCACTGTTTTCACCACGGTCCCACTCCCCCCACTTTCCCCACGGTCCCCACCACTGTCCCACTGTCCCCACTGTCCCCATTGCCCCACTGACCCACTGTCCCCGCCGCTGTCCCACTGAGCTGTCCCACTGATCCCACCACTGTCTCCACTGTCCCCACCACTGTCCCCACTGTACCCCTGTCCCATTGTCCCACCACCGTCCTCACCACCGTCCTCACCACCGCCCTCACCACTGTCCCCACCACCACCGTCCCCCCCACTGTCCCCACCACTGTCCCACTGTCCCCACACCACTGTTCCCACCACCACCGTCCCCACCGCTCTCCCACTGTCCCCACCACTGTCCCACCGTCCCCACTGTTCCCACCATTGTCCCCACTGTCGGCACCAGTGCCCCCACCAGTGTTCTCACCACGGTCCCACTCCCCCCATTGTCCCCACTCTGTCCCCCCCACTGTCCCACTGTCCCCACCACTGTCCCACTGTCCCCACTGTCCCCACTGTGCCCGCCGCTGTCCCACTATGCTATCCCACTGTCCCCACTGTCCCCACCACTGTCCCACTGTCCCCACTGTCCCCACCACTCTCCCCACTGTACCACTGTCCCATCACTGTCCTCAACACTGCCTTCACCACTGTCCCCACCACTACCGTCCCCACCACTGTCCGACTGTCCACACTGTCCCCACCACTGTCCCGCTGCCCCCACTGTCCCCACCGCCACCACCGTCCCCACCACTGTCCCACTGTCCCCACCACAGTCCCACTGTCCCCACACCACTGTCCCCACCACCACCGTCCCCACCACCGTCCCAATGTCCCCACCACTGTCCCACTGCCCCGAGGAGCGGGAATCGTTTGCCGGCGGCGAGGGGGGGGGGGGTTCGAACCGGCAGTGACCCCCCCCCTCTTCATGATGGACTAGGGGGGGGGCAAGGGGGGGTTTCGAACCGGCAGTGACCCCCCCGGTTTTCTGGGGGGGGGGGACGGGTTGGGAACCCCCAGTGACCCCCCCCCCGGTTTTCCGCCAGCAGCGGTAGAGCACGCTCGACAACTCCACGCCACCCGACGCCCCTCGAAATGTGATGATGCTGCTGCAGCTGATGATGATACCCGACGTCCGCAGGCTGTGGTGGCACCAGACACCAGCCCCAGAAAAGAACAGGCTGGTGGTGGCACGAAACCTACGCACCGTACTGGCACAGCAACTGTACAATGGCCACGAGGCGCAGGGCTGTGTCAGCACAAGACGGGTGTCCGAGCGCGGCCGAAAACAAGCTCCACCGACAGCCATACACACAGCGCGATACCTATAAATGAGAGAGCGTGATCCACCGCCGCTTTACTGTGGAACCCACAACGCAGGCAGGCAGGCAAACCGATCGAGAGTCAATGCTCGGCCCAGAATCGGGCGCGACTGTGTTGATCTCAGGCGTCACTTGGAGCCCGAGTGAAAAACGCACGAAGTCTCCTTCGTGCTCATATGTACATTCTCCGTGCTTCGCGACTGTGTTGACCTCAGCCGTCTACCGTTGGAACCCACAACGCGCTACCGCCAAGATACTTGCGTCTCTCCACAAAGCCAGTACAGTGCTGGCAAGTCGACGCCACCCGACGATTCTCGAAATGTGATGATGATGATGATGATGATGATGATGATGATGATGATGATGATGATGATGATAATGATGATGAAGCTGGTGAAGCTGATGATGATGAGGAGGAAGAAGAAGAAAAAGAAGATGGAGAAGATGAAGAAGAAGAAGAATAATAAGAAGAAGAAGAAGAGGGTGTTGATGCACGATGGCGCTAGTAGTGATGATGATTGCCACGCTAGGGGAATTTCCCAGCACCTCTGCGGCGTTTGAATGCTGGGTATGAGACAAACCTGGAGGAAAATCTACTGGAGACGCGAGGGGTGGGGGAAGAAAATAAAAGAAAACGGAAGGCAACGCGGGCAAGGCCCCGCTTGGTCGTACAGGAGGACTCGGCAATCAAGGCTCGAGTCGCAGGGCCGTGTTAGCACAGGACGTGTCCGAGTGCGGCCGAACTGCCGAGGCCTGATCGGCCACTGGCAGGTTGCGCCGCGACGTGCATGCCACTCCTCGCGCCACGACCACGCTCGTGCTGCTCCCCTCCCCGTTCCTCCTCCCCCATTTCTCTGGGCACCTGCTGGTAGAGCGATCCCCTCCTTCTCCTCGAGTGCGGGTGGCTTCTGCACAGCGGCAACATGTTCTCCCTTGGGGCATGCAGAAAAACATCAGCTATGCACTACTGGCTGTCTTGTGCGCCTGGACATATGACCGAGCTCTGAATCTGAACCTGGCCCGTGGTGGCGAGGCCGGCGCAGCTGGCGGGGCCTCTTTGATCTCAGAGAAATTCTGAGATGAGGACTTGCCTTTCAGCTTCCGGCGCAAAGCCAACACCGCTGCCCCGATCGCACCTCTCAAGGTCTCGGACCCGTCCAGGCCTGCCCCAAGCAAACTTGCACGAGCACTGTCAGGGCCGCGCGAAGCAACCGGCTTCGCGGGCGACCCCACCACGAACTCCGGGCCGCCCAACTCTGCGCCGACAGAGCCATGCGAAGCGATTGACTCCGCGGACGCCCCCACCACGCGCTGCAGGCCGTTCAGGTTCTCGGGATGTGGTGTGCGGGCCCTCACGATGCCAACCTTGCGAGAGTACATCGGCGCGTGCAAGATGACGCCGAATGTCGGTGGCACGTAGCGTTGAACATTAGCTCCGCATGGTGGCGCCACGTCACCCACCAATATCGGGTCTTGGCGCCAAGATTCATCGAACGCTGGCACCGCCATCGGAGAGCAAAGCCTGCGGGGGAGATTAGCGGAGCGCGGGCGGGGTGGCGAGAAAAGCCAAACAGTTAACTGACGAATTAGGCTTGCGCCACAACTGCTTGAGCCAAAATGGCTACGGAGGGCCCTCTTGGGCCGTTTTGCCGTCTGCAGACGATCTTTGGGGCCTCTTGGGGCGCCTGGCGCCCTTCTGACCCGAAAAGGCGAGAAACCGAAAAATCTGCAAAAACCCTGGGGAAATCCATGTGCTTGGCCTCCTCAGGCCCTCTCGGGGGCCCTCTGGAGAGCCTCTGGAGCCGTCTCGGAGCTTTCTTGAACCGTCTGGAGAGGTTCTCTTGGGGCCGTCTTGGGGCCCTCTGGGGCCGTTTTGGGGCCCTCTTGGGCCGTCTTGGGGCCCTCTGGCCGCGTCACTTCAACAAAACTAAAGAAACAGGCCATCGAAGCCGCCCGGGAGCCGCTTCACTCGAAAAATCATACGGGAAGCTGGCCATTACATCCTTTCCCTGCGCGCCCCGCCCCTCCCCTGGACCCCTCCCGTAAAGGGCTTCGCATCACCAGAACGTCATCACTCGTACCTCGCTCTTTCTGTTCCCTGGGCCATCACTGGAACGGAAAAGAGCGCTGCAGGAACTTCCCCGAAAGGGTTCATGGCACCCTTCGCTCTGGAGATCCTTGGCGTTAAGAGCATGTTGCGTCACCGCTCTCTGTTGGGAGCCCTGGTGTTCAGAGACTTTTACGTTGCCGCTCGCTCGCGGGAGCCTTGCTTTTCAGAGCTCTTTATGTCACCGCACTCTGGGGAGCCTTGGTGTTCTGAGCTTGTTGCGACACCGCTCGCTGTGGGGAGCCATGGTGTTACTTGGCGTCTCTGGGGATTCTTGAAAGTCTTCCGGTGGCTATTTTGGACCGTTTTGGAACTCGTGGGCCGTCTTGGGGCCAGCCCAGTCCCCACACCCAAGCGCCCAGCGCCCGGTTGCGGGGCTCGGCGGCGGCGGCGTCGGCAGCGCCATGCTCAGCGCCCCCCCGCGGCCCCCATCGCGCCAAGCTGGGGCGGCCCAATGGAACGCGTCCAAGATCCGGGCTTACCTGGGGCGAAAGCGAGTATGAGCCAAGATGGGAAATGAGGGTCTTGCTGGAATCGTACTCAGGGTCGAATCTCCGACCCCCTTTCATCACCATTATTGAACCCACTCGGGACCCATCGCGCGGCGAACTTGATATCTCGGGTAAACACGGGGCGGCAAAACGACGGACCTGAATGAGAAGCCGAACATCTCTGGACCTGAAACGCCAAAAGCAAAGCACAACTGAGACATTGCCTCCTCAAAGAAGGGCTCGACATTCTGTGACTGGCTGACAGCGCGCGGCACGAGACGCTGCTGTCACGAGCGCCCGCGCCTCGAGCCTAAGGATACCATATCCAAACACCCACCTGTCGGCCATCACCGTGGCCCAATGTGAAACAGGCAAGAGCGAATCGAGCACCTCTGGGAAGCTGGGATCCGCCTCCCCGCGCCCGCTGTCCAACAGGCGCCTCGGCTCCGCGCGCAGCCAACGGGGCGCCCCGCCGTCGTCCCTGACGACCTGGCCCGTCTCGCTATCCAGCAAAAAAAAAAACGCGCACTTCAAACCGCGCTGCCGCGCGAGCCCAACTCCCAAGCGCCATCGCGCGAGCTCCAGGACACGGCCGACCTCGGCGACGGCCCCGGGGTCGAAGCACGCCCCTGCGATGCCGTAGCCGAACACGCTGGCGCTAGACGAGAAGACGACTGGCATCCAGGGCCTCTCCCAGCTAGGCTCCAAAATAACCGCGACGCCCAGGTATCACTCGAGCTCCTCTCCCACGGTCGGCCACAGCACAGGGTAGGCGCGGTAACTTTGCGCCACGAGTGCATAAACAGCGCGAAAGACTGACTAAACTTCGCGGAGGACCAGGGCCATGAAAGTCCAGTGGCCCGGCGCCATCTCCTGCTGCCAACCTGCGACACTGCGTCGTCTCAAGGGGCATCGGAGGCCTTTCCGCACGGCGGCGAACCTCTCGTCAGCGGAACGAGTCGCGAGCCTCTTCCCGTCGACGGAGCAGCCAAGGACCCGGCGGCCCTCGGGCAGCAGGCCCACCTCGTGGAACTTCAGCAGATCACGCTCGAAGTCCTGCCGCGCCTCGCACAGCGCGGACTGGGCGCGTCCTCCGGCGAGGCCAACGACGCCAGCATTGCCCGCGCACACGCAGCGGCCAAGGGCGCACCCCGGGGCCCGGGCGCCCAGCACCAGCGGAGGCCCGCGGCCGCACAGCCGCACCGCAGGCTACGGCGCAGCGAAGGCTGGCGGTCGAGCCGAATCTGGCCAGCGGCCTTCGCGAAGAAGAGCGACCACGAGAAGCCCATCGGGAGGCTCTAGCCCATGAACCACCCTGCTCGCCCTCTGCCACGGGGCGGCCTTCAGCCAGCGTCTCTCCAGTCAAGAACCCGCTAGCGGCGGCCGGCAGGGGCGGCGCCTGATCTCGCCCTCCAGCTCCACTCTGCGAAAACAATCGGCGACTTCGCTAACGCCCAGCGCCGCGCACAGCTGCAAGCACTCGCCGCCCACCACGACTGGCACCTCAACGCGGCCGAGCCCCTCGCCCGACAGCAGATCAACGCCTGGCGGAGGGCGGATAAAGGCGCCGCCCCACCTGAAGTGCACGATGAGGCAAAGGCGTTCCCCATCCTTCTTCTCCACGAAAAAAAGCCAAGCACGCCCAGCGGGCGACGGGTCAACGCGACAAGCCCGATTTTGGGCGCGCGCGCCGACCGAACTTCGCAAAGCCCCGCGGTCGCCGGAGCAGCAGCGGGTCGGCATCGCAGCCCGGAAGTCCACGAAGCTCTCGAATTAGCGCTGCGTCCTAAGGCGGCAGCAGCATCTTGGCGGCGAACTCCCCGAGGCCAAGCCTCGCCTGCGCAGGTGGCATTGTCGCCAAGGTCGGGGCGTCGAAGACGCCGCCTAGCAAGCTGACCCGCGAGCACTCGTAGGAGCCCACGCTGGCGGAGCCAACCAGCACATAGCCCGCCTTGCCCCTCAGGAGACCAGCGAGGGCCTCCCCCTCCGCGACGGCGCTGTCTACGACGATCCAGCGGCGAGCCGCCGAACAGACGCGCTGCTGCACGCCCGCCCGAACTGCGGCCATTTTACGCTGGCTGACGTCGCCCTGGGGCGACCGCCCGGCACGACGTGCGCCTCCATGCAAGTAATTCAAGCTCGCGCAGGCTGCGTTTCCGTCGCGCGGCCAGCGGCGGCGCTGACTCGAGCTGAGCCCGTCACACCACTCATCCGGCAACGCGACCAGGGGAGCGCCACAGGAAGGAACAACGAGCCCTGCAGCCTCTGCTGCGTGCCTTGTGATCTGAAGGAGGCGGTCGGGCGCCCGCCCCCCTCGGCCTGGCGCGCAATGCGGCTGGCGGGCGAACCCCGCGCCCCCGCCCGCCTCGCTGGCGCCCGCCGCGGCCGCCATCGCCAGCGTCGCCACCTCCGTCAAAGCCTGGGGAGCCCCCGACGGCAATTCGGCCGCCCGCGCTGACAGCAGCAGCAGCAGCAGCAGCAGCAGCAGCAGCAGCCCGCGTCGCGACGCCAGGCGTCACTCCTGGCGCCTTCGCGCGGGCCCTCGGCGCCTCGAGCTCGTGTTCCTCCTTCAAGAGGCGTCGCGTAGCTCCTGAGCGCCTCTGGCACCAGGTCGAGCGGGTTCGAGGTGCCCGCCAGGTATTTCGCCGCGCCCCAATTGGCCCGGCCGGCCCCGCCTCCGCGCACCGCAGCAGCCTCCTCGCGATCACCTCCAGCGACGCGAGCGTAGGTGCCCGCCGGATACAGACATTCGCCGAGGTGCCCGCCAGATACAGCCATTCGACGAGGGTCTGCACCTCATGGTAAGCCCTGTCACAGCGCGAGTTCCCCGTCTCCTTGCAACACTCCTGGGGCCAGACCATTGGCGCGCCTCCATGCCGAAACATCTTGCGACACACCTCCAGGCACGCCTTGGGATCTCTGAGACTCGAGTCCGCGAAGACCTCCTGCATACTCTCTTGCACCACCTTGCGCCGCTCCTTGAACCTGGAACCCGTCTCGTCGACGTCGATCCAGCACGTCCCGAGGTCCTCCTGGCCCTCTGCCTCGCCTGCCGCGGCTGGCGCCGCGCCGAGAGCCTCGAGCGGCGGCGTCTCGGTGCCGCCCATTTCGCCTCCCGGGAAGAGGCGATCGCCCAGGCGGGCGCGCGGCGGCCGAAGGCGATCCGCCGCAATCAGCTCATCGTCCCGCCACGGATCAGACGTCTCCTCCGTGACGCACTCGGTGGGCTGC